GGGCCCCTCTTTTCAGGTTTATTCTCAGTTATTTCAGGCAGTCTTACCTCAAGGCTCATAAATAGAATTTTGAAGGTCCATGAGCCTCAAATAGTATACAAAATCTAATAGGCATTTGTGTTTTTCTTGGGGAAGGGCCCAAGATTCACAGAGGACTCTGTTTCCTAAAGGCTGGGAAACACCAAGACCATGAGTGGCCTGTGCCCAGCGGGGGGCTGGGATGCAGGTGGGGAATCTCCAGGGCTGGGAGGAGTTTATCATGCCTGGGGACAAAGGCTGCCATCTGCACTGAAGTGGCCACAGGGATCTTCTTCACTCCTCAGGACTCACGGATCTCTACTTAAGAGCTCAACAATTTCAACCAAGCTTATGAATGGGGAGATAAAAATCTGAGGCTGGGCCTGAGTCCTAGGGATAGACCATATCTTGCCTGTTGTAACTGAGGAAGGAGCTGGAAGATTTTGAGTTTTCCTCCTTGGCCATCTGGACTCCCAGGATGTTCTGGGAGAGGGCTCTGAGGCCGCGGGTTGTCCAGTGGTGCCCGCATGTAGGTCACTGCCAGGCCAGGACACACCTGGCAGTAACCATAGACCACTGCACGCCCCCACCTGGGCCCAGTGTCTTGCATTAGTGTCATTTATTTCACTTGGGTATGTATACTAAACTCCGATTCGAGATTCGAGACCACTAGATGTCAAGACCCTTGTTAAATATCAATGTCACATACATAATGATGCATAGTAATTACTTTTTAAGTGAATAAGTGACAACATATTCAGCAGCTAAGTAGCTATAGCGGGTGCTTCCTCCAATCTAAAGAGCCCAGGAAAGGGCTTCCTCTTAACAGTGGCAGATGGTTCTGAAGTCGCCATTTCTATCAATGCAGGGATTTTTTTTTTTTTTTTGTTTGTTTGTTTGTTTGTTTTTAAGTTCTGAGACTGATGGAAAGCAGAGTCATGGACCCTGGCTGGGAATTCTTAAGTTTTACATGATAATCCCTTATGCTCCTGCAGTCCCTGGTAGTCTATAAAGAGCTTAGGCTCTTAGGTTCTCGGTAACCATGTGCTGTTTTCTAATGTAGCAGGGACCTGGGTCTCTCTCACTCCTCCTTGGGGCAACCTGAACGATTTAGGTTGATTTCTAGAGAAATAAGTTCCCCAGCTTCCCTCCCATTGGGTTCTGGAGGGAAGCAGTCAGATACCCAGACTTCTGTTCCTGCTATTTAAATCGGTCTGCTCTGGTTCTATCTTTAGCAAGCATTTAGATAAGACCTGGAGAGTCAATGTTTTCCTGGCAAAACCTGGAGGAATACTTTGTTGTTCTTTCCCGTAGAAAAATGAAGACTGGAGGACCGCTTAGCGCTGACGGCAGCCAGGCCCAAATGGGAGCCCTTCTCAGCCCAGCAGTAGCCTGTCCGTCCCACCAATGTTGTTACTATTTGGGCTGCAGGTGAAGCCATGGCAGGGAATATGTCCAGTGGAGGTGACTGCCATCTGAGGAGATTCCGATGGCGATGATGAGTTCCTGAGGAATGAGAAGGGTTGGCCTGGGAGGATTCCAAAGGCTCGATGAGTCAGGAAGCTTCTGGAACCACCCTGGGGCCAAAGGGCACAGAGGTATTTCTGCACTTCATGGCTACTACTCATAAAACCTGGGGCGGCATCACCAATGGTAACAGGGAAAAGATTCCAAAGCTAAAGATAGAATAGCAAAATAGGAGCACTGCGAAGTGAGAGGACCTTTCAGGACGGCCTGATGCTGGTGACGTGAGGCATGGATTCTTACATCGTGAAGAGGAAGAGGGAGCAGCGCACTACAGGGATTGATTCCCAGACGGGGGCCCACCCCCAAAAAGAAGCCACTAGTATCAACTGTCCATCCAGACCACCTGGCATCACTCTGGCACCCACAGGGGCAATTCTCCAGCATCATATCCACTCCTTGGGGTTGTCACGTAAGGACACTAGTAAAATATGGGAAGTATTAATACATTGGTCCAGTGTTAGTCAGCTTTCATTACTATAACAAATACCTAAGATGATCAACTTATAAAGAAAAAAGTTTTGTTTTTTTTTTTTTTTTTTTTTTATATTCCAGTCCATGATCAATGGGCCCCATTGCTTTTGGGCATGTGATGAGGTAAGAATCATGGCAGGGAGAGTGTGGAGGAGAGAAACCTCTCACTTTGTGGCTGGGAAGTGAAAAAGAGGAAGAGAAAGGGGGCAGGGGCTCCACTCTCCCTTCTAAAGACCACAGTGACCTAGAGACCTCCCACGAGGCCCATCACCTCCCAACAGCACCTCCCTGGAGACGGTGTCTTTTACCACATGGGCCTTCAGGGGGGATTCCAGACCTGAACCCTGCCACCAAGAATAGCCATTGCAATGGAAGTTTGCTGTTTAAGAGGTTGGCAAAGAGCATCCTTCAGGCAACAGGCCAGGAGAGTTTAATAGCAAGGGAGGAGAATGTTCAGGGGGAGGGACCGTCTGGGACGGAGGGATCAGATGTAGCCATGAGGACACTGGATTTGGAGCGTCTGCACCAAGGCAAGCAGGAAGTTTGGGGATGACTGCATTAGGGACCCCCACATCAGTCTTGCTGACACTGATGCTTTTTCTAGAGATGGATCTGCTGGGATTTCTCCAATTAACTTGAGAGAAACACTGACGCGTATCTGCCTCTGACCCAAGGCAGGCTGACTCCTCCTCTTCTCTCCTGGTCATCCCTGTCCCACCTCCCGGGACTCTTGCCCCTCCCTAAGGGATGTGAGTGACTTGACTGACCAAAGAGCAAGGGGCAGGGTCCCCAACCCCACCCCAGGTTGTAAAGGCACCGAACACTGAAACATCTCCATTGTACAGTATCCGCCTTCCTCATTAATCAGCTCATGGATGTACTACATTATCCGGCTCTCTGCTTCCAAAATGATCAACAACCCATATGGCTGTTTACTTAGCAAGGTCACAAATATTGGGCATCACCAACATTACTATCTGGAAGAAAGCCAACCATGCATCGCGGTAGAAAATGGAGCTCCCAATAGGGAGGGACCTTGCAGTCAGAGTAAGAAAGCGACTGGGTGAGCTCACACCGCATGACGCTGCCGTGTGTGATATATGGGTTTGGCCCTAAATAGAAGGCACACGCAAGATTCTGCCTCTTTATTCTTTTTACAACTTCCAGCTCAGCCAATTGTTTCAAATCACTTTGCTTTCTCAGTTTTTGCTTAGAAGTATACAGATGGGGATCCTGGACATTTTTTAAGTGAAAATTCTCACTTTGCTGTATTAATTGACCAAGCAATTGGCATCCTTTGGGTTGCCTGGTAAATTGGGAAACTGGATCAAAACCACAAAGTGTGGACTTACCTTTAACCAGAGGCCACACAGAGTCAATCTGTCCTCAGATAACAATCCTAGCTGTATACCATGGATGAGCTTGATGACCCCAGGCAGGTCACTTGCCCTCTCTTAGCTAATTTTTTTCATTTATAAAAATCAAGATTATGCTAGTTATCAAAAGAAGGTTGTATGAATTAAATGAGCTCATCGATGAAGAACTTGCTTTGTATAGTGTAATGTGTCATTAACAAAAAAAAAAAGAAATAAAGAAAGAATAGGAAGATTCCCCTGATAGGTGTCTCAGATTAACACTAATGGAGAATGCAAAAGACAGGAAGTAGCTGGTAGGAGGGGATTTCTGAGAGGTAGAGCTTATTTAATACATAGCTCTGGGTCTTGAACTCTAAATTAGATTAGAACCGGTGTATATTCATCTGTAATAGTTCACGGAGCAAAATATTTGAACTGAAGGTGAGACTTTTTTTCTGGGAGGTACCCACATGGGCAGCATTGTGAGAGGACTGAGCTGCCTTCCAGGTTGGTCATGATGTGAGTTTGAAGACAATGGAAGGCTGAGGGGCAGGAGGAGTTCTGCGTGGATGTGGCCCTTGCTATGCTCCTCCCTTGAGATTTCCCTCTGATTTTTATTTGTTTGTTTGTTTGTTTGTTTCTACCAGGGGTTGAACCCAGGGGCTCTTAGTCACTGAGCCACATCCCCAGCCCTTTTGACTTTTCATTTTGAGACAGGGTTTTGCTCAATTGCTTTGGGCCTCGCTCAGTTGCTGAGGCTGGCTTTGAACTTGAGACCCTCCCAAGCCACTGAGAGATTCTAGGCATGGGCCGCGGTGCCTGGCTTCCTCTGATTTTTAAATGCCATGTGCTTCCCAGACTCTGAAACCTCCTGATCACCTCCTGACGGACATGGAAATACATTTGCAAGTATTGAGAAGACGAATTAGGTTTTCGAACGAGGACCTCATGCACTTAACATCAAAGACTCGAGCTCAGTGCCCCAACAGTGACCTGGACAACTCTGTGCCAGGCCTGCTTTGGGGGTCGTCACTGTTAGTGGCCTTCAGGCTACGGTGGCCTGTATATCCCAGGTCATGTTCTGTTCACTATGTAGCCCCTCAAAAACACACAAGGGAATGAAAAACCAAATAGAAATGTATTCAGAGAAGTATGCAAAGAAGAATCCATGTGTGATGCAGAGTCTTGAGGGAAGGCAAGCTAGGAGTCGCGGCTGAGCTGCGCGGGTGTCCTGTGGCTGCAGTGGGTGGGGGCGGGTTTTGTTTAAATCTTGCTTTATTCCACGCCCAGCCAGGAATTGCATCACATGTTACCACATGTTACATGTGGAAGTTGCTTCTTTTTCAGGACTGAGGCTGAACCAGAAGGTGACCTGCCCTTTGGGCGACATGGCTTTTTGATGACTTCCTAAGTGACATGACAGAGTCTTGTCCGGCCATCTCCTCTGCTCTCAGTGAGCTCTGCAACACCAGTGGCAGTTTTTGTTCATCTCATGACCTCTAGTGACAGGGTAGGGAGGGAGGAGCGATTGGATGTTGGGGGTTGAGAGAAGCTCATGAATAAGCACTTGGGAGTGTTCAGGGCACAGGTCACTGACCTTCCACGGTCACTTGACGTCCCCTCACTCACCATTGCGTGATTCATCCATATCGGAAAGATTTCGTCTAGGATCTTGGGGTGAACAAGCTCTCGGTCATAGAGAAAGATGGTCCAGAATACCAAAAATACAAACTGGAAATAAAACAGAAAAAAAAAATATCATTAGGTTTGCTTTTCATCAAAGTTTTCTAAGATAATCAAGGAAACAGCGAAATAAAAATAGATACCAGTCTTAAAGATACCTCATATATACATTATAGGAATGTCAAACTAAAGGAAAAAAAGGCTTATGGTAGAAATGCGATATTTGAGCTCCCCGCGGATGCCTCCATGTGCTGGTTAGTTAGCAAATCCATTACCTGTTATCAAGGCAGGCAGAGAAGACTGGGATAAGCTAGATACACAGGCTGGGCATGGTGGCACACACAACTTAGTGAGACCCTGTCTCAAAATAAAATAGAAAATGGGCTGGGGATGTGGCTCAGTGGATTAGATCCCCAGTACTAAAAATAAAACAAACAAAAAACTAGATGCATAGACTACGAGCACTTTAACCAACGACTTATTTTTCCTCTCAGCTTGCACCTGGAATGGCTTGATGCTTACACACTCTTGCCTACCCCTTAAAACTGACCAACTCTTGGGTAACTCAGAAGCGAGCTTGCTGAGAGTTAGATCTCTTCCTTGCCCTGATCTCCATCTATGGCCTTGTCCAAGCATCTGTCCTCTGTGTTACAGTCCATGCTGAACTGGGATGGGGGTGTGGGAGAACCGTTCATCTTCTGATCTTCCCATCTTCTGAAATTGCATAGGCTTAATTTATAACCCTTAAAAAAAAAAAAAAAAAAAAAAAAAAAACCCAGATTTCACTGTTGATTTTTAAAACTTGATCTTCACAAGACTTTACGGGGTGCACGTGGGGGTATTCAGCCCAGTGAACCTGGAGTGCTGGTGTTGGCTCTGTCACCTGAGAACTCATTCGTGTTTGCAGAGTTTTGTTTTGCATTTGGTTTTGAAGTCGGGGTGCCACAGGAAGCAGGACAATGGCAGGTGGAGGAAGGTGGGTCATTTCTAATCCTAGGCCCCACTGGCCAGCCAGCAGGCTGAACCGGTTTGTTTCATTCTAGCAATGAACAGGCAACAAGGCCATAGAAATGTGGATGGTGTCAGCAAACTAGCTTACTGACCCTTTCACATCTGCCTTTTCCTGATGTCTGTTCATTCAGCAAGAAGAACAAAGCACCTACTGTGTGCCCTACACCAGGCTTGTCTTTCTCTTAGATCGTCTTTTCCATGTGCCAACTCTGAAAGTCTCATCTCTTTTATTTTAAAAATTATTTTAATTAGGTAATTTTTCCACTTGTAGAAGTAACACAGGCTTTTATTGTACCAAGTGAAAAACAAGCTGTACAACAGGGAAAGCAAGTCACCTTCCTCCCCAGGGCTTTCCAGTCTCATGACCTGGAGGGAAATAAAGTTGTCTCAGTGGCACCGTCGGCTTCAGTATTCCTGATGGGTTAATTCCAAGAACCCTCCAAGGATACCAAAACCCATGGATGCTCCATACTCTCATACAAAATGCCCAGTATATGCATATAACCTGCACATATCCTCCAGTGCACTTTTAATCCCTCTTGATTACTTATATCCAATATAATGTAAAGAGTTGTTACAGTGTATTGTTTTTAAATTTGCATTTAATTGTGTGTTTTTTTTCCCCCAAATAGTGTTGACCCATGGTTGGCTAAATTCATGGATTAAAACCCACAGATATGAAGGACCTACTATTTTGATTAAGGAAGTAGAACTTCCCCATTGGACAGCAGTAAGGACCTTGCATTGAGTTTTCACAAAGATTCAAAAACTAACGATAAATCTGATCAGTAAAGTGTCCTATTTCCTGATGACCCTGGGCAGTGTGGTACAGCCCTCAGACAGAATGTTTTTGCAAAGGCAGTGGCTGTGGTTTTCCATAATAGGTTCCGGAACAGCCTGGCTGCCCAGAAGAGTCTGTCCACCTGTACGTGTCTATTCCATGAGATCTACGTCCTGGTAACTTACTGTGGACACAGGGAAAGCCAACGTGGTGAACAGTAGATCTCTGAAGGCAGTTATGAACCTGATGTTTCTTCTTCCTTTGATTCTTTTTAGCACATCATCTAGGCAGGCGACCCCGAAGAAAAAGGCCTGCAAGAACTAAATTCATTACAACAAATGAGGGCATTTCCATTTGCTTTAATTAATACCTTCTTCACGGATGTAAAACTGCATCCCTCTGGGAGCAATGTGGACCTGAGGAGGAGGGGGCTGTTGGGCTGCTTTGGTTAAGAGCCAATTCAAGGGCTGGGCTTCCAGCTCGTTGGACCCTGACCTTGCTCTCTAAACCTGATGGAGGAAATTCATTCACTTAGGGGATGGTGATGGGTATAGTATTTCGTGTAATGGGCTTGAGTTAAAATGGAAGCAAAATTAAAAGTCAGCTTAAAAGGAGACACCTTGGCGGTACCAGAGTGGGAAGAGCCAAACAAAGAGAGCAAGGAAGGACAAAGAGCTAGGTAGGACAGACTGGCCTCAGGTGTCTTCCTGGGAAGAAAAACTAAGAAAAGGGCCCAGGGCTGAAGTCTCACTGGGAAAGCCAGGATCAGGGTCAAGAGCACCAGGTTGGAGCTCCCCGCCAGCCTGAGGAAGATACCCAAGATGGCGGCTTGCTTAGCTCAGGGAGGAGCCGGTGTGATTCCTTCCTCTGAGACCCTCTGGCCTAGCGAGTGGTTTAAATCCAAGGAAGGAGCCAGAAAGCCCTGGGCCCTGGTGAGGCCCCTGAGGCAAGGCCAAAGAGAAGCTGAATCCTTCTCAGGGAAGCTCAGTGGAGTGTCCCTTATCCAAAATGCTTGAGACCAGAAGTATTTCAGATTGGGAAATTTTTTTTTTTATTTTAGAATAAGATATCTTAGGGATGAGACCCAAGTTTATGCACAAAACTCATTTATATTTCATATATCCCTTATACAAAAAAAAAGTGATTTTTTTATCATATTTTTTAATAATTTTGTACATGAAACCAAGTTTCTCACTGTGAAATTTTCGCTTGTGTCCTTGTGTTGGATTTGGGAGCATTACAAATGTCAGGTTCTTTTGGATTTCGATGTTCAACCTGCAATGTGAAACGGAAGGCAAACCTTGCCCATTCTCAGTGTGGCTCACAATCTGGGGACGTCTAATTTAAGGCCTGTGGCGGGGTCGGGTCACCACTACACAGAGTCTGGGCCAGTATTGCGCTGGGCTCCTGGTGGAATCTGTCCTAATCTTTGGAAGCTCTGGAGGCTACACCCGGGGAGTGAGGCCCTTGCTCTTAGGGAGGAGATGGCAAGCTCTGGAGCCGGGAGCCGGGCCAGCGATTCGTCACGTTGGCCGTGGGGCCTGGTCTCTGGGGTCCAGACTCTAGGAGAGATCTTGCAGAGTTGTCCTCACGCCACTCCCTGGGCCAAGGGGTGGCAGGGGAGGAAACGGGGTGGATTCAGTCTCTGTTCCCTCCCTGCTGGGCCCTCAGACCTGAGTACCCCATCACCTGGGAGCTACCCTGGACTATGGGGTCTGAATCTCTGGAAAAGGGGGTCAAGAATTTGTTTTAATAGGCTCTCCAGGATTTCCTTATGTAAGCTGAAGTGTTTTTTTCCTTAACTTTTATTCTAATTTGTTATATATGACAGCAAAATGCATTAGAATTCATATTACACATATAGAGCATGATTTTTCACATCTCTGGTTGTCTACAAAGTATATTCACACCATTCATGTCTTCATACATGGACTTGGGGTAATGATATCCATCTCATTCCACCATCTTTTTTACACTCTTGCCCCCTTTATTCTAGCTAGAATTCATCTGATCTTCCCATGCTCCCCCTCCCAACCCCACTATGAATCAGCCTCCTTATATCAGAGAAGACATTCGGCATTTGTTTTTTGGGGATTGGCTAACTTCACTTAGCATTATCTTCTCCAACTCCATCCATTTACCTGCAAATGCCATGATTTTATTCTTATTTATTGCTGAGTAATATTCCATTGTGTATATATGCCACATTTTCTTTATCCATTCATCTACTGAAGGGCATCTAGGTTGGTTCCACAGTTTAGCTATTGTGAATTGTGCTGCTATAAACATTGATGTGGCTGTGTCCCTGTAGTATGCTGTTTTTAAGTCCTTTGGGTATAGACTGAAGAAATTAAGCTTAAGTTTTAAAACCCCTAGATCAGACATAAATTCATCACTCAGAAATCTTTCTAACTACTCAAAACTCCAGCAGCTGACTTGAGTCCTTACATGTCTCATGCCAGACATAACTAAGCTTATAACTGCACAACCTCATAAAGTAAGTGCTATTATTAATCTCCTCAGGACCATTTTACAGATGGGGAAACTGGGGCACAGAGAGAGATGAACAAACTTGCCTAAAGGCTCATGGCTTCAGAGTCTGGTTCATATACATATATGAACCAGATTTCTACACATACAGCAGATTTCTAAGAACAGTTCACTAAAGCACTGTAGGAGGCGGGATGAGAGACCGCTATTCTCCAGGTGGGGGAATTAAAAATCAAAAACGACTTTTCAAAAACACCGATGCCTCTCCCTAGAGATTCTACTTTAGTGGGTCTGGGGGTGCAGCCTGGGCTTCAAGGTATCTTCAACTCCTCCCAGGTGACTCTAGTCCTCCGTAGCTGAGGGTGAGAACCACCTGCCTAGAGGGACTTCTGTGCAGAGATTCATACCCGGGGTCTCCAGAGAGATTCGGCCAAGGACATCAAGGTAGTCAAAGCCTCCAGGTGCCATGAGACTGCTAAAGAGGTGGGGGTGGGAGAGGGGAGAGCGTCCTCATCTAAGGGACAGGAGGGGAGCAATAGGCCAGGCAGGTGGCATAGAGTGAGCGAGTGGTAGAAAACCAGGACTGGACAAGGCCCCATGGTCCCTAAGGAAAAGGGAGCTTCCCACTGGAAGAGCATATATCGGGAAGGTTGGCAATGGCTATAAATTCCATGCAGGGGCTGCCACCCCAGTTCTTGTCACCTTGTGGGTGCTTTTCACATCATCCCCTCAGGGCTGGGGAATTTGGCCGGGCAGGCCTTTGCCCAGGATGTCAGAAGAAGTTGCCTCCCTGCCGCGGCTCCCACGACCCAGGTAGCTCTCACCTCTCCCCTGGGTTCACCTGCAGCTGCTCAGGCCGTAACAGGCAGCTGCTTGAGTTAGGAGGAGCAGACCTGGGCCCTGGGACCTGGAGACAAGGACTCCAATGTTTAACGTCCTGCACTGGTTGAGGCTCTGCCAGGACTTCCCCTTGGGGGAAGAGGCTGCCTCTACCCAGCATGTGAAGTCCACGAGACCTACTCTCCTCCAGACAGAGCTTCCTAGAGTCATTGTGATCAAGCTGAACCTCTCTCTCGTTTTCCCCAGTTACAAAACGTGGAAATCGGATGAGGGAAGAAAGCACATTGCTCGGTTCCTCCATCAGTAAAAGTTGGCTCCCCACTGCAAACTGCCAGTCACCTCCCCCCTCGGCCCCCAGCTCACACTGATGGGACAGGGCATCATCTGTATCAACAAGGGATATCTGGGGAGTCCCCACATCAGGGCCCAGGAGGAAGCAGGACGGTATTGCCAAGAGAAAGTCACAGGCAGGAGCCACCACCAGAGCTGGAGGACCAGGAGGGTGAGCCCTGAGCTCTAAGGGGCCGCATGCGGTAGGGGACATTGAGGACAGTTTTGAATCAACTCATCCAAACAGACACGGCCTGCTCATTCTCCAAGGACAATATCATCTAATGTTTGTAAAACAGGCCTAGAAAGTGCAACCCGGGGAGAAAATGCTAGTTGTCATGAGGTCAGTTGAGTCCAATGCTGAAGATCTCAAGTCCCGTAATTCCAAATATAACTGCATTTGGAGGTAGGATCTTTAGAGAGATAATTGAGTTAAAATGGGCTCAATGCCCTACTCCAACAGGACTGGTGTCCTTACAAGAAGACATCATGACCCAGACACAGAGGGAGGAGCCCAGGGAGAAGATGGTATTTGCAAGCCTGGAGAATCCACTCCTACCCCCTTGATCTCAGCCTGCAGCTTCCAGAAGTGGGGGAATAAAATGGGGCTGGGTCAGCCGCTGGTCTGCGGTGGATGCTATGGCAGCCCTCACCATGTAATAGCATTAACATGGTAGCAACAACTGGTCTTCTTTGAAGAATCTTGCAACCAAGTGACAGTCATTCCCATTTCTCAATGGGAATTGAGAAATTCCCTCCCAGATATCCCTTGTTGATACAGATGATGCCCTATTTGGGCTGCCTGAGACAGCAGATGGCACGTGGTCCTCTCTTGTTCTTGCTATTTGGAAACTTCTGTCTCTGATCTTCTTTTTCTACTGGATCTTCCATAACTCTGCTCCCATGGAGGGCTCTATACCTCTTTCTAAGATGTTCTAAATTTGTGAGCTTTCTTTGGTTTCTGTTGCTAACTGACGAACTTAACCACCCGTGACAGAGCTGGATTTACATTTTTCATAACGAATGCAGTTTACGAAGCCGTAGTTAAGAGGTCTTTACTTTTCACATTCCTGTGTCTTCACAGGTCCACAGAAATCTTAAAGCCATGGAAACTCAGCCTAAGTCATCAAGTTTATTTCCTCGCCTTATAGCCAGAGCCCAGGAAATGAGAATTTCTTCCATTAAAAAATAATAATAATAATTTCCAGAGAGGGAGATTCCACAAGTTCTCTGCCCTCAAAAGTTGAGTGATCCCAGCCCGGCTCAAGGTTCTGTGTCTGACTCAGCTGGGTTGGGACTTTCTTATTCCTCTCCTTCAATATGATGCAAGCCCTTCAATAAATGAATATCCCACAATAAAAGAGCAATCAGGATGAACTGTGATGAATATTCTCTCTCTCAGTGGTGGGTGGGGTGGCATTTGGGGCAGGTGGATGGAAGGGAAACTTGGCCAAGTCCATGGGTGTAGACATGTTAACATTCTGTTTCAGTCGTCATTCATACGCATTTAGCTTCAGTAAGAAATTGAGATAAAAGGATAAGATAGAGGACACAAGTATGCGGAACACTATTTTGAATAATGACAAATAAATTGGGATGAAGAATATTATGGGATAGGTGGGGCGAGCGTGCACAGCCAGTGTGGCATGGCTGATAGCAACAGTTGGATCACAGTAGACTATCTTGGGATGGAAGCTTTGCAGAGAGGGGCGGGAAAGGTCCCGTGTCTGTTGTTGAAGGGGTGGAAGGAGATAGGAGGGAGAGACCCAGCCAGAATCTCCCTGGAGATGCAGTTAGTTATGTGGCACCACCTCTAGCAACGCTTCTGAAGGAAGTTTATTTTTAAAAAGAGGAACCACCAACCAGCCCCATGAACTCTGTACAGCAAGTCTTTGTGGCCAAACATCCCCCACCCCAGCACCCACCAGCTGGTCAAGGACAGTCCTTGAATGAAAGTGGGAATGGAGGGGAGGGTTGCAACATTCGTGTAGGACTCAGGCATTGGATGGACGAAGCCAACCCAAGCAGATCAGGGACATCCACAGCTGGGGTTCCCCCATTCAGCAGGACTGGCTGCTCTCTGCTTGAACCTGCAAACCATATCTCTCCAAGAACCCCAGAGCCTGAGGGCAACCACAGCAGCTCAACAGAGGTCTTCCTCCAGCTGGGGCGACAGAGCATGCAGCCGGGGGAAATGGGAGCTTTGAGGGTGGTGGGTGACCCTTGCCCAGCTCCGCCACACACCAACATGGGGTTGAGTGAGGAAACTGATTTTCCTTGGAATCACCCTCTGAGCTGCACTGTCTGTGAAAGACAGATGGCTGGAAGCTCACCACCCCCTTCCCACCTTCTCTCCGTCTGCTCACACTGGGCTGTGGCCATTCTGTCTGCTTGTCACCTATCAGCTCATGCATCCCTGGCGGCCACACTGTGGTTAAGTACTACTTTCATTTCTGTGAAATTTGTGGAAATTACAAAGAAGTACAAAGAAGTACCTAGATTAAAGTGACAGAGATAGTCAGTGATGGAACCAAGATGACATCTCAGAGAGACAGGCCCAGAGCTCACGACTAACCACCTGACTACACTACCTCTCCCTCCAAAGGCCGAATCAGCTGCCTCTGCCCTGGGGTCAGTTCACACCCTCAATAGGCAGAGAGTCACACCTCCCCTCCTCTCCTTCCTTTACCCTTCCCCTTCAATGGCTCTCCACCAGGGCCACCAACCCTGGAGGAACTCCCATCCCTATTCTCTTTGGATTCCTGGAATAGTTTTTCAGGGGGGAAGTGGGGAAGTGGTCAGAATGCAGACTTGCACTAAGATGGGCTTGGCTTTTCAAAAGGAGGTGTAAGCAGGACTCAGCCAATGTGAAGCGGCAGGTATTCCAGAGGAGGGGTATGAACTCCCCCAGTAACATGGGTGGGATACTAACTTCACCAAGCTGAGCTAAAATAAATACACAGGTGTTATGGCAAACTATGGGACTGATTTATTTGTGTTAACTAATGATCGATTCCATGAATGATCAATGTGATCATCAACGAATCGATCATGAGTTAACACAAATAAATCGGTAAGAACCCACAGTCATTAACCAGCTCATGAGACCTCAAGAGCTAGAAATTTTGGAGGTCCAATGTTTCAACTTCGGAAGGAATTCAAAAGTGATACTATAGGTAAGTAAGCACAGACTGAGAGACGCTCTAAAAAATCAGGAAAGGAAAAAGGAATTCAGGCTGGAGTTGTTCCACAAAGATTTTAAGAAAGAATGTAGGATTTCAGGAGGTCTAAGAAGGAAGCCAAGTGTTGGAGAGATAAGGAGAATACAAGCAGATAAGGAGGGTCCAGCCCATGGACCAAAATGGGTTTGACCCAGGCCTTCTGGCAAAAGAACTCAACCTTCCCGGGGGAGAGAGAGATCTGAAGGTTGCACCAACAGGTGAATGACTAAACCAGGAGTTTGGGGATTGGTTCCATAAAACAGAAGGGAGCCACAGAAGTGTCTTGAGCAGCAGACCACAACTTAAATAGAGCTTATGAATAACCTGACAATAAATGGGCAGATGATATCAAAAGACATTTCTCAAAAGAAGGAATCCAGATGACCAATAAATATATGAAACAAAAAATGGCCAACATCCTTAGCAATCAGGGAAATGCAAATCAAAACTATACTGAGATTTCATCTCATTCCAGTTAGAATGGCAATCATCGAGAATACAAAGAACAGTGAATGCTGGTGAGGATGCGGGAAAAGGTCTACTCATATACACTGTTGGTGGGACACCAAATTAGTATAACCACATTGGAAAGCAGTTTGGAGAGTCGTGTACAGACTAGGATGGCACCACCATATGGCCCAGCTGTCCTACTCTTGGTATTTATCCAAAGGAAGCCAAACTCACATACTAGAGTGATCCATGCATACCAATGTTTATAGCAGCGCAATTCACAATAGCCAAGTTACGGAACCAGCGTAGGGGAGCTGCCTACAGACGAAGGGACCCATAAAATGTGGCGTATGTCCACAATGGAATTTTACTCAACCATAAAGAAAACTGAGAGGATGTCATCTTCTGGTAAACGGATAGAATTAAAGAACATCATGCTAAGTGACTCAGAAAGTCGAGGGTCAAATGTTTTCTCTCATATGTGAAAGCTAGGGGGGAAAAGGAATAAAAAAGAACCTCACAAAAATAGAAGGGAGACCAACAGAGCCGAGGAAGGAGAGAAGGAGAGGTAGAGGAAGGAGAAGTACAGGAGTGAGATCAACCAAGTGATGTTGTGCCCACGGACAGACCTCCCACCACGGATCCTGCTGGTGTACGGAATTACAACACACTAGTTAGAAAACAGCAATAGTCAGAGTAGAACATGCAGATCAGGGGGAGGGAGCAAGGAAGGAAAGTCCTGGGGAATGAGATTGATTGAGGGATGTGCATGCATGAATGTGTCATAATGAATCCGACCGTGTATTACGTCTAATCGCAATGCACTAACAGAAATGGGGGAAAAGGAGATCATCAAAACAAAATGAAAAACAGCTTCGGGAAGATTCATGGAATCTGAGTGGTGGGTGGAGGGACTGAACAGGGAGGACAGGAAAAGAGCTGATGTGGCCTTCCAGGTCCAAAGTAATAAGAGCCTGGAATAGGAGAGGCAGGCCGACTCGGGGAGAAGGACAGACCTAGCAAAAAAAATCCCACCAGTGGGATTTGGTGGCTGATAGAACAGGGAGGTAAACATGGGATTAACACTGAGATACGAGGGTATTGTTGATGAAAGTGTTTTCCCACTGGTGGTAATTGAAGAGAATGAAGGCTCTTTGGTATGTAAGGGAACTCAGAACTAGGAAGTCGGGGAGCTGGTCTATGGGAGTAGGTGATACATCTATTCTTAGCCACCCTTATGTGAGACAGAACATCCATACTGGAATTTGGATTTGATTAGCGCGTCAATCTTGGCTACAGACTGACTCTCTTCTCTCTCTCTCTCTCTCTCTCTCTCTCTCTTTCTTTCTCTCTCCCCCCCCTTTTTAATATAAAGCCAATACAAATCTTAACAGCATTTTTAAAACACGATAGCACTCTTTTAGTCCTGAAAAGGCAATTTCACTTTGTTTTCTGCTTTCTTTTTCTTTTTCCACAAAATTATAGGATTAAAACAAGCAGTCACCAAAACAAGCTGTGTTTGGACCTCAGATTTTTCTGGCCAGAATCAAGAGGTAGCAAATGGCCAGAGAGGGAGGAGGCAGCACCCAGAGGCCTCCTCAACTTGAACTCCGACTTTTCCATCTCAGGAGGATTTCAATGTCACTATTTCTGACCACACACACCCTCTGTCAAGAGGATTATAATTCCAAAGGATTAGCATATTACACCCAGTTTTTAAAATCAGATGTTTACACAGCACCCTATATTTTAGACAAAACCCTCATACATTAGTTTTCTTCCTCCCAAAGATGTTCCCTTTTTAGTTTTTAATTTCCAAGACTTTTTTTTCAACAGATTCCCAAAATACTTTTTTTTAAGTTTTTTTTTTTCTCCTGTTCATTCACACTTCATTCATCAGTGTGTGGTCAGCCAGGTTAGGAAGACAAGAAGGTTTTTAACTAGTTGAAAATGTGTGTTTGCTATTGGGTTGAGTGATTTGTCCTTTAAGGTGGAGTTTGAGCCTATAAAAAGTTGAAGTGGGAGCATGGCAAAATGTGTTTGCTTTTCTTAGATAAATCTGTTAGTCTGTGTGTGCTATAAAATGGCATTATTCCTCCAATGGAAACCACACTTCCTACACAACAGACGCCACTCTGCCTTCTCTCCACAGACTTTCCCAACCAAGGTTCAAAATCCCTCCTGTATTTGTAGTCAATCCCATGGGGAAACCATTAGTCTGGTTCCCCATTGGGGTTCCAAGATGAGATTCTTTGCAAAAGAACACGGAACGATTAGCCAGTCCAAAAAAAATGTAGCTATAGATAACTTCCAAAGTAGAATTCTCAGGAAAAGAACAAAACAAAACAAAACTGTTAGGTAATAGAAAAAGACAAAATTCACCACCAATGAAGAACATAAACAAAAATGGAGTTTTGTATTTAATAAAAATCCAAAGGAGGTATGGGGTGAAGCACTGACATGGCACATTCATTGGTCCCTGATAGGACCATGTGGACTTACCAGATTAAGAAGAGTCAAGTACTTCCACTGGGCACCATCTTGAAATATTTTATATTCCTTCTGTTCATTTCCATGTCGTGGGATGTAGTAATTGAGGAAAATGTACCAGTTCAAAACGAGGAAGTGGTATATGCACGTACAGGTCCTCATCCCAGCTTCCTCTGGCCAGGGCACTGAATACCTCAGGTCACTTCTTTGTAGTGTCCTTCTGTGAGTCACAGATCAGCCTCTAGGCAGTCGGGAGAGCTGTAAGACACACCCCTGGGGGTTGAGAGTTCTACCTCTGGCTTGGCTTCTCTCTTAGGCTGTTGTCCTGATAAACTTGGGAGAAAGGATTAGTGCTGTTTTTCAGAATCCTGTTTACATAATGATAATCTGTGGATTTGCATTTGTTTCAACCTATTAGCCTTGGAGGAGGGCAAGGGGCCAGAGCTGCCCTTTGCACCATTTAGCTGGGGCCCTGGAGCAGTGGTGGTGCAGGTTTAAACAACCTTATTATGAAACACCGACAGCTTTAGCTAATAAAACCCTCTCCTGGCCCAACTCTCTCTTCATTTGGAAAGAACAGGAAGTTGCAATAGTATCTCTTTGAGAGAAGCAGGTTGATAAACCAGGAGGTGGAGACTGGGTATGTGGAGGGCAAGAATCAAGGTAAGGAGGAAAGGAAGGAAGGATCCTTGCAATCTGGCTTCTGAGATTGCCAACCTTTGATCCCTCAGGGAACCCTGGAGGGTTTCTTTTGTTTTGGTTTTCCGGTGGTTTTGTTTTGTTTTAGTTTATCTTTAATCTAGATAACCAAGAGTCGCAGGCACTCCTTGCACCTGGGCGTTCCTGTGCCCAGAGGCCAGCAGCACCGGACCCCCAACATACCTGAGGGTGAGTAGTGCCTGGGAAGGGCAAGGGTCTCTGCACTGCCCTGGAGGGGATGAGACATGGTTGGGCTGGGTAGAACACAGTGGTGGACCTGCCTCAGCCCAGTAGCAGGGAACTGAGGGACCACTGGAAGTGCCAAGCCTTGTGACATCACCAGCTTGTCTCCCTGGGCAACCGACTAAGAGGGTTGAGCAAATTCCTCAGAGAAAAGCTCCCAATGCAGTTATGTAAGTCTGCTGTCCGTGCTATTGCTGATTTCACCAGGGCTCCCAAGAACCACAGGGGGGTCCTGGACAGCCAAACAAATACAGAACCAAGCCTGAGGACTGAGAGTCATTGGACTTCACACATCAGGAGCTATTGATGAGAGGAGAGTACATCTGAGCCAGCCCCCGAGGGTCTGCATTGTAACCATGTGCCAGTCTGTGGGGGCTGCTACCACCAGACACCACAACTTGGGTGGCTGAGAAACAGCAGGGATTTATCTTTCACAGATCTAGAGGCCAGAGGATAAAGGTGGAGATGCTGGAAGATCCGGTATCTGCTGGGGGCCCACTTTCTGGTTCAGAGATGGCCATCTTCTCACCTTGTCCTTGCATAAAGGTGGGGGCTGGGGTGGGGAGACAAGTTCCCTAGGTCCTCTCTTATCAGGTCAAGAATCCCATTTGTGAAAGTTGAGTTCTTGGGGCCCAATCACCTCGCCCCATCCCCACCCTTCACATCCTAATACCATCACCTTGAGGGTTAGGATTTCAACACATGAATTTCAGATTCTAATGGCAAATCATTCCCCCAAGAGAGAGGGATCCAGGACTTTGGTGACATATCACTCTGTACAAAACTCCATGGCCTGGTCTAAAATTAGTAAAATGATAAATGGCAGCTAATACTTTAATAGCATTTAACTGTTTGCCAGGAATCATTCCAAGGCTTTACATGGGAACCCATTCAACACCTTAAAATCCACTATGAGGTTAGTACTGCCCAGAATAGAACTGCCCACTTTCTGGGCAGTACTAATGAGGAAAAGAAAACCCTGGCTGCCAAAACCGTGTGTCTGACAACAAGTTAAGAGGCAGAGCTGTCTGTCCTGTACCCAGTGGACCTGGAACCAAGAATTCTCAGGTCTCCTCTGCAGGCCCCCAACCCCTCTTTCCAATAGTCTCCCCGTCTCTGCTGAGGGTCTTTTTCTTCCCATCAGAAAAATTATCTCAGAAAAGGATCAGAAGTGTTTTGAAACTTGGTGCACCTATGAGCTCTCATGCTATGTCTCCAGGGGCATCTCCATTTTAGACGTTGTTGTAGCTTTGGAGATTTCATGCCTTTATATAAAAAAAAAAATATCTCAAGTATAATTCTGCAGATGGGTAAAGATTGAGGGAAAGATGGGAAAAAGATGGATAAAAACCCCCATCTCTGAAATAGGTTTGTCAAAATCTAGGTCTTTTTACTGCAAGACCTCTTTATTTTTTCCTTGTTCTTGCCTCGATGCCCACAGAGGAGAACTCTCATAAATATTGATGTGATTATTTAATTTGATTTGCAAGAGATTCAGGGTTTGACATTAGAATCCAATTAATTGTTAGCATTTTAATAAATAGTAAAATAATATATGCGTATGAGGATTTGTATATAAAAACTACATGACTTCTAAACTCAATATCTGCATCTACTTATAAAACTTTCCACAAAAGTGTTGCCCAAAAGAGAGATTGGCCAGGAGCAATGGCACATGCCTGTAATCCCAGCAGCTTGGGAGGCTGAGACAAGAGGGTCTCAAGTTCAAAGCTAGACTTAGCAACTTAGCAAGGCCCTAAGCAACTTAGCAGACCCTGTTTCTAAATAAAGTAGAAAACAGGGCTGGTGATGTGGCTCAGTGGTCAGGCACCCTGGGTTTAATCCCTAGTTACACAAAAAAAGGTGTCTCTGGATTATGACCATATTCACAACATAGTTTGTATCCCAGAATGAATATCCAGGTACATTTTTATGGAGTAGTTTGGCTATCTGTCCCCCACCATAAAACCAGGTGGAGCTTGGGAGAAAAATGAATATCACCAATTAGCCTATATGGTATTATGAACACATAATAAGTGTGCTCCTTGGCTGTCTTTCTCCTTTCTTCAGTAATCTAAAAGGCTAAAATTGAGAAATGGAGAGAATTATTCTCGGACTTAAAGTGAAAAGACAAATATAGCAGAAATTTGATATTTTTACACAAGAAATATTAAAAATATAAACAGCCATATTTCATACTTTGATATGAATAATACACATGTAACTTGATTAGTAGACTTGACATTCTACTCTCTACTCTTTAGGAAATTGGAGCACCCTTGCTTAATGTCCCAAGTATTTATTGAGCAATTACTATTTGCAGGAGACTTGCTAGGTGGTAGGGAGTTCCTGAGGACTAAGAGAGAGGCAATCCCTGACCTCATAGAGTTTCTATTCCAGCATGGGAGGCAGATGTTAAACAAGAACAAGACCAGGTGTTAATTCACAATTATGGAAACTTCTGTGAAGGGCCAACACAGTGGGATCATTGGAAGGAACAGCAGATTCAGAGGTGGGGTGACGGGGGTGCAGGGAGCCAGCCCTCTGGGAGCCACGCTCAGTGCTGGCTCTCCCAACCCAGCCCACATCCTCTGGCCTCCTTGTCCCCTTGGTGACTCCTCTTCGCCAGCTCCTCTGGGTGGTGTTTCCCACAGAGCTGGTGCCCTCCTGTTCTTGTGGTGATGCATACTCAACCACTGCTGGGAGCCATTAGCCAAGTAAGTATGACAATTTCCTTGCCAGCGTACCCCATGTTGCAGTGACATTGAATGTAAGTGACCTTGCTCAAGGACCAAGGCAGATTAGGGTGTTCCCGGTTTTAAGATAATCTTGTTTAGGGCGTTCCCAGTTTAGGTTCCAGGTTTAAGGTTTAAGATTATTCCTGCTGGGAATAGGGCGTATCCTGCTGCCTGAGTTCCCCTTGAGTTCTCACGGGATTCAGACAGTATATTTTGGGAGATAGAAGCCCAGTGGAAGTGGATTTGGGCAGAGAACGGGGATTTGGGAAGAGAACGTGGATTTCCCCAGAACGTGATTGTAGACGGCTGGTGTGAGTTCGGGAATAAAGAGTTGCTGTTTGAATCTACAAGCTGTGTGGTGGCTCGTGATTGTGTGCCCAGCCAGACTGCGGCATTTGTGCCCAGCCAGACGGCATTTGTGCCCAGCCAGACTGTGGCAAACCACCATTTTTATTGTCACAGAATCTATTCCTCAAGATCACATCTGCTCTGCCTAAGCTCCTCCGAGTTCAAATATATCTTCAACTCCCTGCCATTGGACATCCCCCGAATGAGGAAGACACACCTCAAACTCAGGGTGTCTAAAGAGGACTTGTTTCCTTTCCCCAAACCTGGCCTTTCTTGTCCATTGCTCTATTTTGGATGAAGGCTCCATCATCGACCTGAGAGACTTTCCTCTGCTCTCTCTCTATTGTTCCTCAAGTCCAAATTCTGCAAGTTCAGGCTCAAATGGGTCCCCTTCTCCCCACCCTTTCTATACCTTCCCTGGTCCAGGTCTTCATCTCCTGCCAGTACCATAGCAACTGTCTCTTGATTGGTTTTCCCAAATCTAGTTTAATCCCTCAATTCTGTACTTCACAAGGTTGGAGGATGTAATTTTTTCCAAAATGCTACATTTGCCCTCGGCTTATGTCGCTTTACCACATCAACATCACCAACAGGATAATATATGAGTTTGGAAACTTTTAATACCTGCCCCCTGCAACACACACTCACACACACACACTCACACACACACACACACACACACACACCTGGCTTGGGTACTTTCTCCATCTCATCTTTTGTCATCTTCTTATGATGTCAAATTGGCAGAGCCTCCCACCCAAGCCTTGGTGGGGACACACCCCAGTGCCTTTTCTCCTACCGTCTCCTTTTCCTGATGGCCTCTCTTAACAAGTTTTTGACTGGTTATCTCCGAATTATCCTCCAAAATGCAGCCCAGCAGTATCTTTCTCTAGTAACCCTTCCTGAACCTCTCCTCCACCAAGCCGTGTTTAATGACCCCCCTTAATGCCTATGAATCTCTGCAAGTTGTATGATGATTAGAAAGTCTTTCTCTTCTTGTTTGCTATTGTTTGAATTCCCAGAGCTTAGCAGAGTGCTGGGCTCAGAGTAAATACTTCATAAATATCTGTTGAGTAAGAAAATAATAACCTAACTGAAAATGTACAAAGGACCTGAATAGACATTTGCCCCCAAAAGACTAAAGTGGACAACAGGTATAAGAAGAGACGTTCCCATCATCAATCGTCAGGAAAATGCAAGTTAAAACCACAAAGAGTGTCACTTTACACCTGTCAGATGGCTATTATCAAAAAGATAAATGAAAGCAAATTTGGGTGAGGAGGTGGAGAAAAGGGAACCCTAATACACAACTGGTATGAATGTAAATTAATACAGCCATGGCGGTAAACAGTAGGGAGATTCCTCCAAAAAAAGTTCAAAATGGAACCACTATATGATCCAGAATTTCCCACTACTGGGTATGTATCCAAAGGAAATGAAAGCAGAATGTGGACGATACAGCTTCACTTGCAAGTTCATTGCACCATTACTTACAATAGTATGATATGGAATCATTCTAAGTGTTAAATGATGGATCAATGGATAGAGGAAAATGTGGTATACATGGGACACATACTGGAATACTATTACTCAGCTTTTAAAAGGAGAAGGATCCCGCCATTTGCAACAGTCCGGGAGAACTTGGAGGACATTGTGTTATGTGAAATAAGCTAGGGGTGGAAAGACAAATACTGCCTGCTCTCTCACACAGGGAATCTATGAAAGCCAAATGCATAGAAGCCGAGAGTAGAAAGGTGGTTAGTAAGGGCTAGGAGTGGGGACAGGGGAAAGGATATGACATTTCAGCACAGAAGGAGGAATAAATGCAAGAGATCTCTTCTACATCATTGGGACTTATATCTAATAACAGGGTATTCAGTGCTTGCAAATTGCTGAGAGTAGGGTGGTGTGCCTGCCTGTAATCTCAGTGACTCAGGAGGGTGAGGCAGGAGGATCACAAGTTCAAGGCCAGTCTCAGCAACTTAGCAAGACCCTTTCTCAAAATAAATAAATAAATAAACATAAAGGGCTGAAGACGTAGCTCAGTGGTAGAGCACATCCAGAGATCAATCCCCAGTACTGCAAAAAAAAAAAGGGGGGGGGGGAATTGCTGAGAGTAGATTTTAAATGTTCTCACTACAAAAAAAAAAAAAGAGTGTGAAGTAATGCATATGCTAGTTATCTTCATTTAGCCACTAGACAACATATGCATATTTCAAAACATCATGTTGTACACCAGAGACGTTCATGATTTTTATCAATTCAAAAATAAATAATTAAAATGAAAATATTGTTGAATTTAATGAATGTATGAATACTAGGTATACCTGTCTACTGGGCTGTATGACAAATCTGGCTCATTCATTAAAATACTATTATGTTCAGAGTGTCCAGCTGATGGATTCAAGGCAGGAGGCAGAATCCTAGGAGGAGTTAAGTCACAGAGAGCCTACGCCCTAGAAGAACTCACAGTCAAGTAGTGAGACAGGTATATAAAACAAAATTATAGCATGATGTGATAAGTACTATAATAGAGGTATGCATAAACTACTAATGGAATCTAAATTATCCTGCACATTACTCTGTCATTTTAAATATGTAGCAGATTGAGTTCAAGATAAATGCATCGAGTAGGCCATAGGAGACTCCAGACTCCAGGCAAGAGAAGATAAAGTTTAAAGTAATCTCCCTGAATATAGGAGTCCTGGCTACCAGCACAGATAACCATCTTGCCTGGTTATGGTTTGGACGGCTCAATGGCCAGTGTTGAAGTCTTGGTCACCAACCTGTGGCACTACTTAGAAGTAGGAAGTGGGACCTTATGGAAAAAAGGTCATTGGGGTAGGGGGGATGCCCTTGAGAAGGAAGTTGGAACCCTGGCTCCTTCCTCCACCATGCACTCTTGCCACGGTGTACTGTGCAAGCCACAGGTCAAAGTAATGTGGCCAAGTGATAATGGACTTAAACATCTATAAGTGTGAGCCAAAATAAAACTTTCCTCCTTTAAGTTAATTTTCTCAGGTATTTTGTCATAGTGTCAGTAAACTGAATAACACAGGGGTGAATTTCCTTATGTGTAAGGCTTGGGGAATTTAGAGGAGTGATCATTTTGCTGCCCAAAGGTGCCATATGAACTGGGCTAAGGGACAGTTGAGCTAGGGCCTCTGAAGAGACTGGAGGGAAGCCCCAAGTCCACACAGATACCCTGCCACGCCCCTGCATAACCACAGAACCAGTCACAGTGGAAGGTTCTGGAAGGTGATGGCCACAGGTAACAAGTGAATGCTGAGAAGGAAATGGGGATGTCGGGGCCCAGAGTCCTGGAGGTCATGCTGAACAGGTCTGAGGGAGTGCAGTTTCATTCTGACACAAGGCAGAAGCCTCCCAGCTACTGTACTAAGTAAACAACTACCAATACATCCCAATGACCTTAAGCTTCACGACCAGCTAAGCCAGCAGGACTAGTCCATACCCACTCACCCTCTTCGACTGCAGAGACCTTCTCGAATGGTCTATTCCTCCACAGCCTCAGGAGCTCACTTAACTGGGTCCGTCTTTGGGTAAACAGTCTCACCATTAAATTCTCAGATGAGGGGCTGTCCTCCAGGGGTGTCTGAGACACCTCTGTTCCTCCGCATCACACATGGCAAAACTCCCGATGTTAGTAAGAATCTCATGTTGTGTGAATCAATCCTGCCATTGTGCTATTCTTAGGCATACCTAGGGGGTCTCTTGGGTTTCCGGATTATCATCTCCCAGCTCCATCTGCATTTCCCTAAACCCCGGCTATCTCTGAATTAATATCACATTCACTGCCTTCTGAAGCACCCCAAAAGTGTGCACGAGGTCCCGCTGAAGTCCAGGTGCCCGGAGACTAAGATCTTCCTTCCAGTGGAGTTGAGGGGCTTCCCTGGGAGCCCTGGTCCCCTTGCTGGAAGTGGCTGAGAACTGAGTAAGAATGAGATGATGAACCTATTTGGGTTATTTTTGTCACATTCAAGAGCACTTGTTTTTCTCAGAGGCCACCGTGACTTCCCTGCTTTTTAAAAACTAGAACTTTCAGTGAAGGCCTCTGTCTGAAGTCTGCTGGGTGAGGACATGTGTGGGTTCCCAGCCACCCAACTAAGTGAACCGGGGCTTGTTTTTTGAGTTGTTGCTGGCTGGATGGCTATATATCTCTTCAACCACCACATTGCCCGTGCATGAGGAAAACCGGTTCCCACCTGCCTTCCTTTTAATTTCCCACTTGGCTTTTACAGAGGAACGTAGTGTGTGACCATCTTCTTGGACTCCCTCAGAGAAGCAGAGCTCTCTGTCAGTATGTTTCAAGCTACCTTAAAAAGGCCAAAGAACTCCTCCTGTTTACAGGCATGACATTGAGTCACATTATTTAAAGAGTTTAGATTAAAGGGGGAAAAAAATGTTGAAGTCTGTTAGTTCAACCTCTTCATCTTCCAGATGAGAAAATTAAAGCTCAGAGAGATTGTGCAACTTGCCCCAAGTCACAGAGCTATGAATGCAGGGCAAACATCAGAATGTAGATTTCTTAACAACCAGGCCTGTGTGTTTTCACTTATTTTTGAATTACACTTTTTTTTTTTGTATCCAAGTTCTAGAATTTTCAAGTGAATTTCTTTCGTTTGAATTAGTTTGGAAGTCACTTGATTATGTGAGATCTGATGAAATTGTTAAAGAGAAACTGTCTGCCCAGAAAAACCATTTTGAGACTGTCAGATTTCACATTTTGTACATCCTAATAATCAGAAATGTGTAATTTTTTTCTCATAATGTAACTCAGACATTTCAAAATAGACTTTTATATCCAGAATTAATCATTAAAATTACAAAAATATTCTAAACTGGCCAATCAGCACATTCCAGTTCCAGGGTTTTGAAACTCTAGTGTGACATTCATCATAAGGACAACAGTCAGTTAAGCTATGGCTGTTTTGTTTTAGCAGTTTGTACAGAAAAACATGACTCATGTATAGTCATATACATGAATGGCACTTTGTTGATTTTCTACCTAATGCTTCTATTGTTTGTTGGAGAAGTTGTTGAAGTCACTAAAAATAATAACTGTGCATTAGTCTATTTCTCCTTTTAGCTTTATTAGTTTTTGCTGCATGTTTTTTGAGGCTTAGTTGTTTGGTTCATACTTGTTAGAATTGCTATGTCTTCCTGGTGGATTAACCATTTTAGATATGTGATGTGCTTCTTTGTTGCTAGTAAGCTTCTTTGTTCAAATAAACTATACTTCATGTTATATACCAAAGCCATTCTTTTTAAAAATCAAGACTTATATGTATGATATTTCATCACATAATTGTTGCAGATTTTCTAACAATTTTTTTGTTTGCTAAAAGGAGGTACCATTATATGAAACATTTTTTAATTGTGTCAGTACTATTACAAATCATTTATTATTAAATCTCTTTGATGAAAGATTAGGATGCATGGGACACGTGTGAATATACATTAATACAGTGACTACAGTTATGCTGTAAAATATGGTATTTTTCATTACTTTTACTGTCAATCTGTTTTGTTTAAATTAAAATGAGTTTCTTGCGTACAGCATATAGTTGAAACATGTTCTTTGTGTTTTGTTTGTCACTGTTCCAATATCTGCCTTATAATTGGTATATTTAGACTATTTGTATTTAAGGTAACTGCTGATAGTTTAATTCTCTGTCTTTGAATTATCTGTTCTACTGCTTCATGTTTCTTATATCTCTGGTCTCACCTTCCTTTGTGCTACTTGAACACTTTTTAGGATTCCATCTTGAGTTATTTATAGTGTCTTTGTACCTCATATAATTCTCCTAGTGGTTGCTCTGAGTGTGAACATATATACAACCTATTGCATTCCCCTGATCTAAAATTTGACCACTTCAAGGGAAATAGACACCTTACTTCTAAGTTAATTCTCTCACTTTTCCTATTTTCAAATACCATAGCCTTGGCTCTCAGAGCACAATTTTTCATATCTCTCGTTGTGTACAAAGTATATTCACACCAATTCGTGTCTTCATGCATGTACTTTGGATAATAATGATCATCACATTCCACCATCATTTCTGACCCCATACCCCCTCCCTTCCCCTCCAACTCCTCTGCCCTATCTACAGTTCGTCAATTCCTCCTATGCTCCCGCTCCCTACCCCATTATTATTATCCTATGCTCCCGCTCCCTACCCCATTATTATCTTTAGCTGTTTTTTTAAGGGTAGGTCTGCTAGCAACCCAACCTTTTAGTTTCCTTTCACCTGAGAGTGTCTTCATTTACCTTTGACTTCTGAAGAACAGTTTCATAAGATAAAGGATTCGTCCTAGGTTCTTCTAGCACTCACTGTAGGCTGAGCCATTTCCTTCCGGTGGCCATGGTTTCAAGTGACAAGTGTGCAGCTATTTACATCTGTGCTCTCCTACAGTTAAGGTGTCCTTGGGAGGGCTGCTTTCGGAAGTTTGTTTTTAGTTTTCAGAAGTTCAGGTATGGTGTGCTTAGCCGTATTTGAACATTTTTCAGTTTCTTAAATCTGTAGGTTTATGTCTTTCACCAGTGGGGAGTTTTTAGTCATTATGCTTTTTTTTCCCCCAAAATACTCTTTGAGCCTCACTCTTTTTCTATTCTATTGTGGGACTCCAATGGTATGATTTTTTTCCCCTCTTTTTTTCTTTCTCCATAGTCCTCCATTGTCTTGCTGTTGTTGTGTGGGGTTTTTTTTTAGTCTATTCTCTCTCTGATTTGATTCTTTGATTCTGTGCTCTGTGTTTCTATCCTGCTACGGTGAAGTTTTTATTTCTGTCAATATATTTTTTAAGTTTTTTTCTCATAATGTAACTTCTCTTCTAATTCCCATTGGGTCTTTTTTTTAATAAGTTCTATTTCCTCAATGATCTTTTCCATTTTTCAATTGTTTCAAGAGATTCATAATGGCTCATTGAGCTTTAGTTGTATAATAACTGCCTTGAAGTCTTCATCGGATAAGTCTAGCATTCAACTCATCTGTGTGGTGTTCACTGATTGCCCTTTTTGTTGTTGTTCTCATTCCAGATGTTATTTTCAGCTGGGCAAGGTGGCTCATGCCTGAAATCCTAGCAACTCTGGAGTCTGAGGCAGGAGGATCCCAATCTCAAGGCTAGCCTTAGCAATTAAGTGAGACCCTGTCTCAAAATAAAATAAAAAGATCCAGGGTGTGACTCAGTGGTAGAGTATTCCTGGGTTACATCTCTGGTACCTAATAATCATAATAATGTGATGTTTCCTCATTCTTGACATGACAGCTGCTTTTTTATTACATTCTGGACACGTTGGCTATCGTCTTAGGAGACTCGGTGTTATATTTGAATCTTGTAGTTATCCTGCACAGGGATCCTGACCTGACTTCTGTAGGTCAATGTTCGGATGATCATTTAATTTTCTGAGCCTTTTTGCTATACTGTTTTGATCTGCTTGACTTATAAAGTGTCCCTGGGGCCCCTGGTGTGACAACCAAAACAGTCTCCGGAAATTATCAAAAATCCCCTGGGGAGAAAAATCACTCCTAGTTGTGATCCAGTAGAATTCAGCTTTCACAGCTTGCGACAGGCCACGCCTCCGCAGAGAGGTAAGATTCTCCTGCAAGGCTCAGGGGTGGACCTTGGGATCTTCTCCTGTGTTTTCAGGCATTAGCCCCCTTCCCTGGGGAGAGGAAAAGGCTTTCTCTGCCTCCTCCTCCTCCATCTGCCCACACTTGAACTCAATGAGGATGCTGATAAGTGGATCCTATCAGAGGGCAGGATTGGATTTCCTGCAAAATCCACCTCAGATTAATCCAGCCCTTGACACACAAATGGCTTTTATTAAGGACTTGCAGCTCTCAACTTTCAAAGTGGAATCTTTCTAGAATCAAATACATATACTTACATTCAGCAGTAAGATATGCTGCCAGAGATCATTATCAGATACATCCTTTATTGCTTTTTAGTTGGTTCTCTTCTTATTTGTATATTGCTGAAATGACATCACATGACCTTTCGCAAGATTTTGCTTTTCTGCCTGGAAACATGGGGTAGTGTTTCATAAAAACAAGGAACAGGTCGCAGGGCTAATAAAAAAAAATCCCCTTATCTTGAAAAACAAAAACAAGTTTAAAAAAAAAACTGCCCGATGGTTCACTGCAGAGTTGTTTTGGTTAATCATTTACTGCCCAGTGAATAAAAAAAACACGCCATCCTGAAACTGTGCGAAAAGAGGAGGAAGCCTTACAGATCACTTGTTTACGAAAAGGTCTCACATGCTTTTTCTGCCTTCCTCGGATTCTGTGTTATTGCATTTTAATTATTCATCTGGAATGGCTACACATGCCTCGGTTGGTCAGGGCTTGCGGATGCTCACTAAGCATCCCCCCCCCCCCGTCTCTCTAGAGTGCTTATGGTGTTTTGGGCTAATCAAAGTGATCTCAATTTGTTTTATGAGTACCCAAAATATATTAGATAAAATAAAAACAGCCCTTCTTTCTTATCTTTGCCAAAGTAGAGTTCTTTGCACACGGCCTGCCGAGGAGAAGGATGCTGTACAGACTGTGAGCTGCAGACACAGCGGTACAGCTGGTTATCCACAGGTGAAGCCGCTGCGGCCTGGCCCGCCACTCCCCCAGCCCCCCCGGCCCCAGCCCCTTGTCTACCTTGTCTTGAAAGATGTCAAAACTTTTCCCATGACTTTCTGCCTTTTCCCTCTGTCCACCTTTTAAGTTTCAGAAGGAGTCATGTTAAAAGGATTTGGAGGGGGGATATGTAGGGAGGAAATGGAGCCTATCTGCTAGACTTCCAGACTGTTCCCCAGGACAAAGGCCTCGTCACCAGTGAACTCACTTGAATTGCTGGGGACGTTTGGCTGTTTCAAGAGGCTCGGCTCTCAATGACACCATGACAAAGCTCCAGTTGCCAAAGTCACCCTCCCCACTTTTGTGGCAAGAGAAAAATAAATAAATGATCATCAGTTCTACATGGTCTTTGGCTTCTTAGTGGAGTTGGTGTGAGCATCTGTGCTACCATAAATCTGGCTGTGTCTTCAAGCAGTGGCTCTGGAGCTGAGAGAGAAGATTCTGGGACTAGTAGCCACAGATCAGGTGGCCACTTGGAAAAGCCCAGCCCACGGCCCTGACGTTGCTGTTGCTGAGGCTGTGTTGTGTCCAGTCAGGGGACATCCTAGTTGGAATGCAAAGAGAGAAAGGAGGTCAGAGGACATGTTTGCCAGCTGCTGGTTGACTCAAGGGCTCTCAGTGGCCTTCTGTTTTTTAAATGTGGCTCCTGGCTTGCACTTCAACTTTGGCCTCTGAAAAAATGTGGACTCCAAAATGAAGTGAGGAAAATCCGTTTCCACCAAGTGGCCAATAGGGTGAGCTCCAACATCAGAACTTCCCGCTGTCCATCTTGGGTGCAGTTCTTCCCACTGGGTGGCCAAGTTAGTGAAACTTCATGTCTCAGTCTCCTCAACGATAAAACAAGGACAACAACGAGAGCCCACAACTCAGAAGCTGCTGGGCAGGCCAAGAGAGGCAGGAGGTGCTAAGGTTGTAAGCACTCAAGGTGCACTAGGTTTTAGTACTTGTAAAACGTTTATCCATATAGCCACCGAAGGGTCCGAGTGCCCATGTGGCCCATGACTAGCACCTCATTTCTAGGTAGCAACATTTGCCGTTATGTCTTCAGAGAACAACCTGGTGGAGGTTCTAGATCTATGGCTAGCAGCCTGAATTCTTTCCAGAAAAAAACTTTGGTGGGAACAATTTCCAAACATATTTCACAGTTGTCTTAAGGCCAACATCAGCTTCCAAACTGAAGAAAAATCTTTACTCTCATTCTGGGGCTTTCCATTAAGACCATAATGACCCAGAATTTCCCACTAGCCCCTACTAAGTTTCTTAGGAATTGAAAAGGGCAAGTGAAATTGACCTGAAGTTCAGGATCAGTGAATTATCACCCTCTCTCTCAGAGAGAGAAGGGAGAGAGGAAATGTACTTGGAGTGGGAATAAATTCACGAAAGCAAGGGACGAGATCAAGAAGAAGAGACGACCCTCAGAGTTTAGTTGGTACCTCTTTTTTAGCCAAGGTGGAGTCTAAATGATAATCTGAAGTGTCTTCTGGGTAATAGGAAAAAAAAATCAACTATTTTTCAAATCTTTAAGCCTCAGAAAACTGATTCTGATTGCATAGCCCAAATATTGTCAGAAGAAGTTTCTTCTCCAGCAATCAGGCGGTACGAACGATGGTTAATCAGTGATGGAAGGAAAGGTGCATGAACTACGTAACCCCCTGCAGAAGCCTGCTCGACCTTGGGGTGCTTTCTGTTTGAGGAGGGAAATAGCCCTTGTTGCCTCAGTGATCACAGAAAGGGGGGGAAAAAGAGGTGCTATGGAAGCTGCTTGGTACCCTAGTTTCTCTTCCCCTTCACTCCCATCAGTGGCTCAGTAGGGGACAATGGCACTTACTAGTCCCACTGAAGAGAGGATTGAATGTTCCTGCTCCCAGTACTCCTGAGAGGGTGTTATGTGGCCCCTCAGTGAGATCCCTATGAACAGACCAGAGCAGAGCATTCTAGCTTCCCACCCAGGATGAGGGGCATGGACCCAGACATCCCTATGTTGAAATTCGACTCCCCAGTATGATGGTACTTGGAGATGGGACTTTGAAGAGGTGATTAGGACAGGAAAGCAGAATCCTCCTGATGGGATTCGTACCCCTGTAAGGAGAGACACTTAAGAGCTTGCTTCTTCTTTCTCCACTACGTGAGGATGGAACCAGGAAGAAGATCTCCCAATCTCCAGGACTGAGAAACAAATGTCTGTTGTTTAAGCCCTGCAATGTATAGTATGTAAAGTATCTGAGTGATGGAGACCATGGGTACGCCAGCTCCAAGTTCCCTCGGTATCCTGAGGTAGGAAGAGGCTTATGGATGTCATAGGAAGAAAAGATGGTGGCCCCATGTGGCTTGGGAAAGCCAAGCGAAGGTCAGGATAATGGGTTTTTTTGACTGAGATAACAATGAACTTCATCTACCCGAGGAAAGGAATAAGGAAAGAAATGGAATTTACCCCTTGAAGAAATAAGCCTGTCATTATTAGCTACTGGCCATTTAAATTTATTGTAATATATGATTTCATTAATTTGTTAAATGCACCATCTGTACAAACAAAAATAAATGCCAACATAGATCAAGCATACCAGTGGCCCAACAATGTACTTTGTACATAAGCCCTCATTTTTTTTTCTTTTTTACAGCATTCTAAAGCAAGAATTATGGTGCCACTTGACAATTGAGGAAGTCACATCTGAGAACATGAGGGATTAAATATCTTTGCCCAAAGACACACAACAAATAAATGGCAGAACTTGGAGCTTAAAGCCATTGTTATCTCAGTCAAAGACCCATTATCCTATGAGGACTCTGAACTACTTTTACAACTGTTCAAAAAGCCTAAATCATCCCGAAATAAAAGACTTATTAAAAAAAAATCCATGATCGATATTGTTCTATTGTGCTCTCTTTCCAAATTACGTATAAGAGGGTTTTGCTTCATTGAAATGCTAAATTTCTTAGGGATCTTGAAAAACCGAATGTCATATTTTAACATCTCTATACCTTCTGGCATCTGTATTCCCTAAGTGCTGTCTTCTACTTTTCTACGTAAAGATTAAAATGGAGCTTGCCACTCGGGAAGCTCCCAGTAAGTGTTACCATCATCGTCGTCATTACCACCACCACTACCACCCCCTCTACCTTCACAAGCCATCGTTTGTCATATTTGACATATCAGTAAACATGTTGAGACTCCCCACTGACCTGGACTAGGTGTTCAACAGCCTTTTCTGAAATGAATACGTCCCTGTGCTCACAACTCAATTTTTCAGCAGTGAATCTTCAAACACAGCCATTTTGTGTCTGTTTCTGTGTTTAATTTTCCTTGGCCCTGGGGGAAGAGGGAGGCTGCCAGAGGATTGTCCTCTCCATGACTCCTGACCACTTTGTAGCTTCCACCTAGCCAATGCTTGGGGTCGGGATGCAAAGGACTCACAAGTCACCCATCCCAAGAGTGGTATTCCTCAGGCATGTCCTTCCTGAGCTCTAACTCAATTAGATCCAGCTACCCTCTCTGCTGTGCTGCACATCAAGGGGAAAGCTATAAATGGGAAGAAGAGAATTAATGTGACCTTTATGCTCTACGGACACAATGTTAAAGGGGCCACATGCTCTTTTCTGGCTGCTTTGTTAAATGTTATCCTTTTCCACTAAATGCCAACAAGTGTTTATAAGTTCCCGGGCTCTCAGAAGATGGAGGGCACAGACCCAGGAGCCTGATGCCAACTCTGCACAGCAAACTTTGCCCCCGCAGCTTTGCTGACCCATCACACGCTGTGTACGCACTGTGGTGGGGGCCTCATCACATGATCTCATTCACCATTTGACAAGGGCACTGTTTTAAAGGATGCTGGTTCTAGAAATGGCAGGAAGTGCTCTCTAACTCAGCACTCTCCAGCGGATTTTTCTGCAATGATGGAAATTTCGGTTTCTGTGTTGTCTAGGATGGTAGTTACTAGGCACATGTAGTCAGTGAGTCCTAGAAATGTGGCTAGGGCAACCGAGGAACTGGATTTTCAATTTTATTCTGTTTTAATTGATTTGGATTTGATTAGTACCATGTAGTTGGTGGCTACTGCACTGGGTAGTAAAGCACCTTAAGGTGACAAGCCACCTTAGTTTACCCAGGACTGAGGGGTTTCTTGATCTTCAGTGCTAAACCTAAAACAGTTCCAGACAAACTGGGACAGTTGGTCACACTAAAGCGGATCTTTTCTAAAATATTTTGGATTTTTGGGAGCAACAATTAGACATGTGGCAGTTGTAGTGTAAACCAAAAGGAAGAGAAGGGCAGAGACGGTTGAACTGGATTTTCCTTCCCAAGTAAAACACAAATAAATGTGAAACGATGAGACAGAGGTTTAAACTGAAGTAGTCCATGTAAAGCTCCAGTAAAAATCTGAATGAGAACACACACAGGGCACCACCCTCAATTGGCTTTCAGAACCCAACAGTAACAGGCTTGATGACATTCAGAATCCCAGTGGAGGTCGAAGGCTATAGACAGCTTGACTACAGTCTCAGTGCCTTGAGTTCCTGATCCCAGCTAAAGATGTGGGTAAGAACCACTAGGAATGCACCAGATATCATTGTCCTAGTAGAAGCTTCTGTATTCCCACATCTCATCTCCCTGTCAACCAGAGAGTGTGAAACACACCACTGGAAACGGATCCCTCTGGGCTCAGTGTTGTCTTCCATTAAAAACACATCTTCTAAGGACCCTCGTATCTAACCATTATGGGTACCATGCTGTAATTCTTTTAACACTCAAATTGGCCTCAACTATCAAGTTCCTGAAGGAATGATTAAAACAGTCATCTCAAAATACTTTTGAATATGCATCCTCATCGTTAAAAATTTTGAGTCATGTTCCCCCTTAGGTGTATATTTTTTGGTAATTATGGTCGAACCGCAGATTAATAAAGCATATTTTTATATTTTGAAGAAGAATCCCATCATTTCTTTTTATTTTTATTTATTTACACTTTGCTGTTCTCACATCTCGGAGCATTTGACCTAGGTGAACACTACATGAAGTTATAAGATGAGTCTCCCTTGCCAGAAATGCTGGGGACAGCAAGTGCCTCAGATTCTGGATTTCTCTGATTTTGGAATATCTGCATGGATTTTACTGGTTGAGCATTTCCAACCTGAAAACCTGACATCTGAAACTTTTTGAGCATCTTGTCAGTGCTTAAATTTTTTTTCCAATTTTGGAGCAAAACTTTTCAATTTCAGATATTTCAGAATTATAGATATAATTGCACATATATACAGACACAGTTGCTGAGATAAATATGAGATTGAAATCAAGGCCTTGGGTCTAGTTTTGTTTTTGTTGTTGTTGTTTTGCTTTGTTTTTGTATATATTTTTAACGAACTCACTTTTTTTTAGAATTTTTCTGTCAGTGGTTACCAGACTTCATTGTGCCTAAGAATTACTTGGGAATCTTGTCTAGAAAACAGGATTTTCAATCCCACTTCCTGAGATTCTGCTTTAATTTGTCTCAAGAGGATCAAGAATCAGCGTTTGCAATTAGACTTCCATCCCCAACCCCATGCAAGCTGTCCAGGATCAGGCTGGGTTCACCTCCACACCCCTGCCCCAAACTATGGGAAGAGTGGAAATGGTTGAACATCAGAGCAAACTTAGCCCTGAGTAAGACAATCCAGGCTTTCTGACTTGGTGACCACTGCTCAGCATACATTCTTTGTCATGGCATTGATAGGCATGAATGGGGCAGCGGGGAGGTGGATGTGAGGTGGTAGGTGTGGTGTGGGTGTGTGTATGGTACAGGCGTGTGTGTATGGTATACCCCTGTACAAAGCTAAACACTTAGAATTGGTCCTCCTTTTCTCTCTCAAGGAGGAAGCTTGTTTTGAATACATCTATTTTTAATAAACTAAATACTTTAGAAATTACACCATTATATAAGATTTAAACTTATCTCTCCAAAGAATTGTTTCTAAATCCGTGTCTCATTAACAGATGTGTCATTTTTTTCCTCCTCAAAAGAATTACTTCCTGATTCATGGTGTTTGCCATGAAACTCAGGTCAAGTGTGAATCTTGATCCAGAGACAAACTTATTACTGGACACCCAAAGAAGAATGCAAGTGCCCTACCATGTCCACATGAGTGTACACTTTACTACTTTCAACCGATGAGTTACATAATTTGGAGGGAGAAGCTAAGATAATTTATTTCCTAAAAAGCTCGTAAGGCCCAGCAAATACACTCCACATAGGTGATCCTACTCCCTGTATCCTAAACATACTTAAGTCTCCCTGTACCCTGGTATCAATGCAGGGTGCTAAAGGTAGGACCCTAGGCAGAAATAAAAGCACAAACCAGATACAGATTCTTCATATAAAGTCTCAGTGCAATTTTTTTAAACTTTCACCATTTTCATTTCTTGGGAGAAATGATTCAAAAGGAGTGATCTTGAAAAGTCAATAAGCATAATTGGTCAGATAATTTGATTTCTTTCTCTTTGCTTATAAGAAAATCATTTGGCAAGGTAGAGCAAGCACGCTGGAGCCAGGTACTGTGGTGCACATCTGGAATGCTGACTCCTAGAGAGGCTGAGGCAGGAAGATCTCAAGTTCAAGGCCAGACTCAGCAACTTAGTGAGGCCTGGTCAAAATAAAAGAAATGGGGGTGGGGGTGTGGCTTAGTAGTAGAGACAGCTTGGATTCCATTCCCATTACTGCCAAAAAAAACAAACAAAAAACGTATGCTTTTACTAACCACGGTTTGCATGTCTAACACATCATATAAAACTGTGCACTGTGATCACTTTGAAATTCTCCCTACAGACTGTGTCATGAAAGACAGAGGCAGCGGGGGGCTTAAGACACATCCACATGACACAAGAAAGGTGAGTTTCCTGTCTCTTCATTTCAAGTAATTAAAGTTTGGATCTTTAACGTCTCCCCAAAAACTCATACATTAGGCAATACTGGAATGTTCAGAGATGAGATGATTAGGTTACAAGAGCTGTAACTTCATCCGTGGATTAATCCACTTGATGGATTAATAATTTGTGTGAACTACTGGGTGATAACTGTAGGCAGGCGGAGTGTGATTGGAGGAAGTAGGTCACTGGGGGAATGTCTTTGGACTATATCTGCTCCCTGGCCCCAACAGCTTTCTTCTGCCACACCTTGTCACCATGATGGTCTGCCTCATCTCAGGCACAGAGCAGTGGAGTCAGCAGACTATAAACTGAACCTCTAAAATAAACTTTTCTTCCTCTGAGTTGTTCTTCTCGGATATTTTGGTCACAGCAACAAAAATCTGTGTAAATCTATTATCGGTTGCTCATTGAAATCTCGTTAGTCTTCCGTAGTAGTGTTTTGGAGATTATTTTAATAAAATCCATGGGATTTCTTACCAGGGATCCCCGAGATTTGCTATTTTAGTTCTATAGAGAGATCTAGCAGGAAGGGTGTACCTAAAAACAGTGTCTTTTCCTGTTGCTCTTGGTAGGCTCCCATCTCTGCGGCTTTTCTTCTGAGGCTGCCATACACCACGATCACAATCCATCCCTCCTCTCTCCTGTGTCCTCTGTGTGATGTTCAGTTTTACCAGGAACCTCTCAGCTAACTCAATCCCCTGCTGGTTGGACAATCTAAAGAACCGTGATGGGTACAGCAGATATATGTCAGGCTTGGCTGAATGGCAGGATAGAGTAGCTGGTGATTTCCCCCGATAGCTTGGAGTGTACGTGGGAACACCTTCTCTTCCTTCACCCCCACCTACCACTCCCAGCTGGATCCCACAGCTCTAAAAGACTGGGTACTACAACATGTAAAAATATCCCAGATGCTGGGAGATCACGCAGAAAGGGCTGTGCTAAACATCTCTAAGTTTTATTTTTCCTCAGGGGATAAAGAAGACTTCTCCTGACTATAAAGACAAGAACAAAATAGAGCCGGACTCTATTAGCCGGAAAGATGGGGGAAAGAAGCATTTTCTGAGTGACAAGGCATCCACCGACTTGCCGGGGGTAACTCACATGGGTTCACTGGACTGCAGCTTATCTGGCTAGCTGGGGACAGTTGCTGCTTATCTGTTAAGGCAGGTTGGGCGTGGCCAGCGTAGTGGTGCACTAAAGCTACAGGTAGCAGGACACACCCGGGCTGGCTTTGATCTGTGTCTCATTGTGTGCTCTGCATCTTCCAGAGTCAATCAGCAGCTGTGCCTGCCAGGCCAGGTGTACTTTACTGGGGGACTTCTGGTCACATAAGCCCCATATTGGTTGGCTAATCTACTAGTGACTTTGATGGATGAAAGTTCAGAAAAGTTCAGACTTGATTCAAGAAGGAGGAGGAGGAGTGGTGCCAGGGCAAGTCACTAAGGAGGGTTTGGAAATACATTTGCTGTCACCTGCCACTCTGCATTTCCCCTTCCTCCCTCCCTCCATCCATCCATCCCTTCTTTTCTACTTTCCCTGGAGGTGGAACCCAGGCCTCATGCATGCAAGACAAGGGCTCTACTACTGAGCTTTATCCCCAACCGATTCTGCAGCTTCTGTCTGCCATGGTCAGTGCCTAAAGTAGCCAGGAAGTACCACCTGCCCTAGGAGCTTTTGCATGAATACCCATGGTCGGTTGGAAAATCTTTAGGATCAAAACAGGAAAAAATACCCTGCATAGTATTTAAATTCAGAGTGTAGGGGACAGGAATGGAAGATAACTAGGTATTTGGCTCTTGAATTCCAACTCAGGTAGTAGTCAGAAGTCTCCCCAGCAACCCCCTTCATCCCTGACCAATGCAGTCAATGGCATTAAACATTTTCATAGGATTTCACACTAAACTATATTGGAGTAGACATCTGGCAACAATTGATTGGCACACGGGGAAAATGTTCAGAATAACCAAGGTGCAGTTCTGAGCAGCTACCCAAATCCATCTCCCTGCCTGCACACCTCAAAGCCTTCACCTTCTGGGTAGCTGTTCCTCCGCACACACTGATGCGCCTCGCACACCGACCACAGACTGTGTGCACGGAACGCATCCTGGCTGCCTGAATCTCCTTCCAGGGAAGATGCAGAGCTGGAGACCGAGCTCGACTTCCGGTGGATCAGGGGATTTCCAGGCCCAGATCACCACTTTGCTAAGATAAGCTCTGTCTGGGTGATCAGAAAGGCTCCGAGGGAGTGGAGGGCCACACGGCCCCCTCCCAGGGCCACTCAGCCACCTCTACATCCAAGCCAGTCCTCGAGTAGGCAGCAGGGACACTCACCGGCCAGCTGTTTCTCTTAAGACTTGGCCTCACCTTGTGGGACTTGCTTGGAGTGGATCTCCTCCTGAATCCTGTCATCAGGACTGAGGATGACAGGATAGCTCTTAACAGGTCACCCTCAAGGGCTGGTGGAAACTCATTTTGCTAATGAAAAATAAAAGAACAGGAGAGCTGGCTTGGGGTGGGAGTCTCAGGCTGGCTGGCTGCTGTGAAGGCTGTCACAGGTGAGAGGCGCATACCTGAGTGGTGAATGGAGGCGGTAGTGACTGCCAGGAAGCATGGGCGAGGGCTCTGGCAACAGTCACTTTTTTTTTTTTCCTGTGAGTGGGAGTTCTGAGGCCACTCCCTCCTCAGCTGGCACCACCTGGAGCAGGAGGGTGCAGGAATTGGGGAATGGAAGAAGGGCATGCGTGGGTGTGGGCGTGTGCAAACCCAAGAGCAGGTTTCCCTCTGGGAGCTCAGAACTGGTTTTCCTTTAATGAAACTTGGATTTTACAAGAGGTTACTAGAGCTTTGGGAGTTTCTTCCTTGGAGGGGCGTGCGTTACCTGTGGCTTTCAAAGCGCCTTTTGTAAAGGCGCTGGAATCCTCTTTTATTCCCAGAGAAAACCTTATCCCAGAGCCCCAAAGTATAGATGACATCAAAGCAGAGCTGCTCTGGGAGTGTGTGCTGACCCCCAAATCCAAACCCTTTCCTGACCCTTCTCTTCGCGGCCAACAAAGTTGAGAGACATCCATACGGAGGAGGCTCGTTGGCTCTCCTGCACAAAGTTGGAAAAATCTGTAGCTGAGTGGAAAGAAGTCTGGCTTTCAAGTCCAGCAGGCCTGGATTTGGATCCTGGCCCTGCTGCTGGGAGAACCGAGGCCTCTGGGGGTTCGTTAACGTATTTGCACCTTAGTTTCCTTATTTCTAAGATGGAAGTCATGTCACGGGGCAGCCCAAGGACAGGGGGAAGACATAGAAGGCATGTCGCACCGAGTCTGGCACATAAAGTCTTGACACAACTTACTGCTGTTCAGTGACTTCCCGGAAGCTTTGGGATACGTGCTGCCTATTGGAAGCAAGAAGAGAAAATAAGTGACACTAGGAGAGTTCTCCACGTTCAGAACTTCATAGCTATTACTATTCTATTTTCTAATTCCTGGAGAGAATATTTATAAATCATATTCTGATAAGGGTCTAATATCCAGAATATAAAAAAAAAAAACCTCCTACAATTCAATAGCCAAAAGACAAAATAGGCAAAGTGCTTGAAAAACATCAGTTCTGTAAGAAGATACACAAAAGGCCAATAATCCTGCAAAAAGATACTCAGCATCCTCAGATATGAGAGAAATGCAAATCAAACACACAGTAAGTCACCACTGCAAATCCACTTGGAATAATAATACAGAAACTAGCAGGTGTTGGCGAGTATGTAAAAAGTTGGTGAGAATTTAAGTGGTTCCCACTTCTAGGGAAAAGAGTTTGGCCATTCATTAATAAGTTAAACAGAATGACCCATGACCCTGCAATTTCAGTCCCAGAATATGCCCCAAAGAACTTAAAACTGGCAGTCAAACACAAACTAGTTCATAAATGTTTGTAACAGTTCTGTTCGCAATATCCAAAAAGTAGAAGCAACTCAAATGTCCACTGAATGATGAATGAATAACCAAAAATAGGGGCTGGGGGAGTACTCGCACAGTAGTAGAACCCTTGCCTGGCACATGGGAGGCCTGGAATTGGATTCCCCAGTACCAAGGGAAAGTGATAAAATAGGGGATCTGCGTACAATGGAATATTATCCTGGCACATGCTGCAATATCAAAGCATCTCGAAGCATCCTCGGTAAAGGAAAGCATGCACATATTGTATCATTCTGTTTACATGGACTATCTGGGCCAATTCATAGACACAGAAGGCAGATTAGTATTCCCAGGGGCTGTAGGGAGGTGGGAATGGGAAGTGACTGAAAGCGGGTACAGATTTCTTTTTAGAGTGATGAAAATATTCTGGAACTCGATGGTGGGGACTGTTGCGCAATATCACAGAAGCACTTAAGGCCACTGACTGGCACACTTTTACATGATTCAGACATTCAATGTTATGTATTTTACCGTGTTTTGTTTTTTTTTTTTTTAAGGACAAATATCTTTCTAGCTAAAACCTAGTTAAAAGTGATTTTGGAGGGCTGTTTTTTTCCTTTGCTCTTCTCGTATGGACACCGCAAAACACAGCCCTCAAAGGCCTGGGCATTTGTGCTAGGGAAGTCTCCCTCTTATTTCAGGGGTTCACGTCTCTCTGTGAAGCTGAAGAACAACTGGCCTGGAGAAGATGGGTGCCCACCCTTCCCCCAAAGGATGATGATTTACAGGGGTCCCTTCCGGGAGCCCAGCCAAGAACCTACTGGGCCCACTGAAGCTCCCTGGCTCATTGGCAAGGACCCGGATCCTCTCAGCTTCGCAGACCGGCCAGACTGGCCTGATTGGCCTATTAAACCCAGAATCCTTTCCCCTCTTTTTCTCAGAGGGGGACATGTCAGGAACTGTCTCTTAGGGACACTCGGGACTTTGAAGGCAACCCAGTCGTTGGGCAGGTCTTGGAATCCCTGGGCTGTATTTGCCCAGCTACATCTTTGTTGTTGCTATTGAGTTTAATTGGGGGCAGGCCTTGCACCCCTCTGTCCAACTTTTACCTGGGAAATCTTAAAGCTCTTCATCTGCCCTCTGCTCCATCGCATCTCTGAGTAACAGTCACCCTTTAGCATTTCCCACTACAAAAGCCAAACTCTCGGTGGAGCAAACCGATGCCCTTCAGCCCAGTAAAGGACACACCTCGAGGAGGGAACCACCTGCCCAGTGTCCTGGACGACCTCACCTCACCTCTGCCGTTACTCATCCACCCCTGTCCAGCTCTGAAGCAAGTTCTCCTCTTGAAGACAGGGCTGACTTGAGTGCATATTTCTGCCTTCAGCTACTTCCTGCTCCGTTGTTCAACAGCATAAATATGGCTCAGCCTCCGTCTTCACAGATCAGATGTCCAATGTGCCAGGAGGGGCAGAAGTGAATGACAGGGAGGCCTTGGAGAAGGACACGTGTCCCCAGGACCAACAGGGAGAAGGAGAAGCCTCCCTGTGAGGACCACTGGATCATGCCATTCTCAGCTGCCAGACTCTGGGACCTCAGATCCCTCTGCTTCGGCTGAAGGGAGCCTCAGGGCTCCTGTGACACAGTACCCAGTCCTCTCTTTCCTCCTTCCCTCCATTTAGCACTATGGTGTGTTGGCTCAACGCACAGTACCTGTTACCCACTCCAGGAAGAGAGCGAGCCGCTCATTCTGATTAGCTGTCAGAACTAATTCTAAGCCGTGTTATTATATGTTAAGGAGGAAAAAGGAAATCCAAAGAAACTGTACTTAAGGCCAGTGCCTAATCAGGTTTTTTTCCCCTTCATCTGTTTTGTACAAAAGCTGCCTGGAATTACTGGTGTGAACCACTTTATACCCCTCTTCAAGTGTTAATTAAATGTGATATTTTAAAATACACACTCCTTTCTCCAGGTGGAGCCAACCGAGCCCTTTGTAAATTGCCGGCTGCCCGTCGGTTCCCCCACCAGCTCTCTTCCTGTCGCCTCTGCCTCCTCGCTCCCTGTAGGGCTGCAGCTCCAACAGCAATAAGTACAGAGTAATTATTTCTGCCAGGAATGTTCCCCTGAAAGGGGTTCACTTTATTTTGGTGCATGTAGTGTATGCTTGAAAGAAAGGCACATTACAACATCAGTCCCTTTTGATTTTGCTCTCTTAATACCCACTGGTTCTCCAAGATGTCATTGGCAAACATGACACCATTTGCTTTTGTTCCCTTTACAAATATTTTCCACTCAAACCCCATTTCTTACTTACAACTGCTGAGTGTCTCACTATGGAAAGCAACTGTTCTCGAGTAGTAGACCGAATGAACTCAGCCTGTGTGGTTTTGATTTAGGAAATATTTACTAAGCTTTTGGTCTGAAACTCCTGACAGTCTGGAGTCTCCTGAGTCCTTGAAGGCAACTCAAATGGTAGATATGCGGTGTGAGGTAGAATTCACGGGGACTTGGGTAATGCCATTAATCTACCTGCCAAGTCTCGTGCAATCATGGGAGATTGTGATACCATCAACAAGTCATTGCTGAGAGCCTACTATGTGCTGGCTGGGTAAGTTCTGACCACCAAGGTGACAGTTCAATCCAGGTAGAGCATGTATTACCATGCACTCTTGCAAGGGGGGAGCTGAGCCCTCTGTAGCGCCATTTAGAGACTTCGCTGGATTAAAATGGAATATGTGATTTGTCTGTTGGCATAAAAGCATCCCCCCTTGTTCCCAGGGATGTGTCCCAAGACCCCCAGGGATTCCTGAAATCACAGATCATACCAAACCCTATACTGTGTTTTGTCTTGTACATACTTTCACTCTCCGTTTTAAGGAAGCACCTTATAGCTTCTCTTTAGCATGTAAGAATTGCCAGATCTCTGAAAGCAGCTCCCTCCAGCAACCAGGGTGTCACCATCTTGCTGCAGAGGTGGGAGAGAACCAGTTTTCCCCCGCTCCACAAGTCCCGAGGCATTTGGGGATGGTTAGGGCTCACTACAGTGTGCCAGAGGGTTGGGAGGAGGGTGTGAGGGCATCTTGCTCTCAGTTCACCCAGCCAGCTGGTCCAGCAACCAGCAGGTTCCTGGGGCCCACTTGAGCTGGCACTCGCTGGGCCCCAGCACCAGCCTGGTCCCTGACTCCCTCCCCAATCCAGCACCCACAGATCCCCTGGTCCTGTGAGGTTTGACATCATTATGGCACTTAACAGAGCCCTCCAGCTCCCCAATCTCCAGTCTGCCAACCCCTCCCTAGCCACCAATCTGGCCCAATTCTCACAGCTATATGGCCAGCCCACAGCACTCAGTGCCTGGTCCTGATTCGCCAATACAGAACAGGTCTTCATGACAGGTACACAGGTCCCAGTGCTCAGCCCTCAAGGTCACCCAGGAGAGAAGTGCTTGACACTCTAATAAGAACTATTTGGTTTAAGGCTGTGTATTGTTTGCATTGGGTGCTATTAATATTGATCTCCCCCTTAAAGGCAAGGTACTAGAAACCTTCAGAGACACTATAAGTCTACAGGGTAGAAACTATACTACCTCAGATCCACACTGCTAGATGGGAAGACACAGGAACAACATGAAGAAACAAGGAAACAAAGCA